CTGCTCTAAGAATGTTACTGGCTGTAGTAGAGCCTCTGAAATCTGGCACAGCAACACCCCCTCAAGCTACAGAAGTCTTTTCTTTGTCCCAGGAAATCTCATGTATATTTAGCAGAGTTAAATTTAAATTATTATTTTCCTCCTCTGCCTGTGCTCCCCAGCAACAAAGAAACAGTAATTGAGGGTGAATGTTTTGTGAAACCACAACGTGAGACAACAGAACCGCAACCCACTGTGTTAAAATACTTGTCTGCACTCCAGCTGAGCTTCTTCCCAGCACACAGAACCTTTCCCTCCAGGAGCAGGGAATGCCTACAGGCTTCCTGCACCCGCTCCGGGGCCACGCTACCCCATCTCCAAGGATATTCTTCTTTTTGCCTCACATTTTCTCCCCAGGCTGCCTCCTTCATCAGCTGCTCCAGCGACCTGGCTGCAGCTCTGCTCCTCGGGAGCTCATCCCTTTCCAGGGAAATCCACAGCAGTGCTTTCCCCTTCCTGCAACCACTCCTGCTCGAGGGAGAAGGGGCATTTGGATCCCCCCACCTCTGCTCTGGGCATGCCCAGCCTGATTTGCATCCCCAGGAGCTCCGGGAGCTCTGCACCGTCAGCTCCTCTCGAAGCTCAGCACAAAGCCATTCCCAGCACACCACTCACTCTGCATTCCCACACGGACAGTTCCCTGCAAACAGCAGTCCCGATCAATGCTCTGCCTTTTCAGTGATTATCCACAATAACCTACGGGAGCTGCTGCCAACAGCTGTGCTTTTATCCCGGCTGGAAATGTCATTTGCTGTTTCAGGAATCCCACCAGCCCCTTGGAGCTGCTATTAAAAGAGAAAACAAACTTTCTTCTGTGAAACGCTATGGAGAGAAAACACCTTTTTCCAAAATGCCAAACTCTGCACTGCGCCTCCCCAGCTGCTTCCCAGGAACAGATGTGCTCCCTGCTCCCGGCCTGGGATGCAGCTTCAAGCCAATCCCAGTTCCCTGGATACAGGTCTGCTCTTTGGGCTGGCATTTGGTGAGTCGATCCCAGATGTTCCCTGGTCTGTTTTCATAAAGCAACATGTTCTAAGAGATTGATTCTGATACCTCACTCCAAAGCACTTATTCTCAGAAAGATTTCCAAACCTCAGGTGGCCATAAATAAACATAACCCCATTTCAGCTCTAAAACCCAGAACTGATTCCATTCATCTCCTCCTCCAGCTGCTCCAGTGCCACCCTCACCCTTCAGAGATACAGCAAACATTTGCCTTGGAAGTCAACAGGCCTCAGTTGGCTTCTGCAGCCAAAGTTACAATTTATTAGAGATGGGAAAGAGATGCTTCTGAACCAGCCCAGAGCACTGAGTGCCACGGCCAGGCCTTCCTGGGACACCTCCAGGGCTGGGCACTCCAAACCTCCCTGGGCAGCCCCTGCCAAGGCCTGACCACCCTTTCTGTGCAGAAATTCCTCCTGATGTCCAACCTGAACCTCCCCTGGCAGAGCTTGAGGCTGTTTCCTATTGTCCTACTCCTTGTTCCCTGGGAAATGACCACCCCTGGGCACTCATGGAATGTGCTGCAAGGGAAATGAACTATTTTTACTGACCCAAAATGTGAACAGACACCGCTCTAAAGTGAGGATGTGGTGGCCACTCTGCAAGACAATCTCCAGCTGCAACGATCATATTGAAATAAAACACCCCAGCATTCCCCTGCTAGAGCTGTTTTCCTGCTTTAACTGTAGTTTTATAAATCTCCATGGAAATGTTGCTCATTTGGACAGTTGCTCAGCGCACCAACAGATGGGGTATGTTAATCAGTTTTTAAGGATATGCTAAAAGTCTGGGATAATTTGAGTTCTGTGTTCAGAATGTTTGCAAAAAACACAAACTTGTAATACATAAAAAAAAAAAGGTTCTTTCTGATGCAGTGGAAGGAAACGGGATCTTAGAATATTTAATTAGAGGCTTTTAAAATCACCAATTTTCTGTAATGCTGAATAGATTATTAAATCAGACTGTCTTCTTATATTTGAGTTAAATTAGGCATGAAAAATAAACATAGTTAAATTTATCTTTCATTTAGAAACCTGCTTCAGATTCTGAAGGGATCAAAATACTTGACTAGAACAACAACTCAGATGTTTTATTGCTTTAACTGATAAAAGTGCCAGGGCAGCAACAATACAACACTGGTTCTAAAAATACCACACGTGGGGCTCCTAAACTTTCCATCTTCACAGCAGGTAAAAAAAAAGAAGTAAATAATCAGCAATTTCTTTGCAAAGTGTAATGTCTGAAGGGAAGAAGAAAATCAAATGTGTGTTATGGATTTCACCAGCAAACCAAGCAAGGGGGCTGCCCCGTCCCGGGCTGTGACAGCACCAGGGTTGAACCAGCAGGTTCTCAGTTTTTGAGGCAGTTTTGCATGTTTTTGCATGTTTTCTTCTTTGACAAGGGCTCTCATGCTGCTGCTTGCACTCCTCTGCAGTTACTACCACTTCTAACCATTCTTCCTTGGGTAATGTTAACACCGTCCAGAACCACTATAACTTTATATTGTCAAACCTCTGCACATTTTTATGACAACCTCGTAATGGTAACAGAAAATTAATTCCATTAAATCAGTTTTTCTTCTCTGTGATGTACAAAAAAAATCCATAAATGCTGACTGCATTATTTCTTCTTGATTACCTTAATGAATATAAGAGTTTGCTATTTTATTACTATTCCTCTGTCAAATAGCCATTGACTATATTATCAGCAGCAGACAAATGGAAAAAGATACATAGAAAAATCTGCAAGATTTTGATACAATCCCAAATACACGTTCTTCTTTGCATTCTTCACTTTCTCCATGATAGGTCCAAGGATTAAAACTTAATTCTCGTGCTTGCACTGTGTTTCAGGATGAAGCACTGAGTGCTGCAGGGAGAGGATCTCCCCATTCCCACTGTAATGTGGGGAGGTCACAAGCCAGAGAAAGCAAGGACCAGCCAAGGTCCTGGTCAGAGGTTGAGCTGGAGATGCCATGGGATATGTTATTCCAACATACAGTGCAAGATTACAGCCAGGAAGAGGGAACAGCAATATCTTTCCAACCAGGAAAAGAACAGACTAGGACAGGATCATGGGGCCTGGAACACAGCCGAAATTAAATGGCAAATTAATTGCAAAAAGAAAACTCCCTGGTATTCCCTCAGCTCCCAGAGGTGCAAAGGAAACCACAGCAAATGTGCAGGGACCAGTTCTGCCCCTGAACTTCGAGGAGCTGGGAAATTACATAAATTCCAAGAGAAATGGCTGAAATGGGAGAGTGGGAAACATCACTGAGCGCTACATGAAAACAGGAGATTTCTGAGCAGGCGCACAGGTTGGTACGAAACCAAAGCATGTGAAACCCAGGTATAAGTCACATAAAATAAACCCATGTATCCTTCTGAGCTCAAATCTGTCACGTTTATATTTTATTTCCGTTAATTAGCAAACATTTCCTGGCTCGGAGTGTTCAGGATGGCACAGGGTAAGTGCAGCCAGAAAGAACAAACTGAACAAGGTGGACTCAAACCCTGGAACTGTCCAGCTTCACAAGGAGGTGATATTTGCGACGCTGGATTTGGAATGTGAATCTGCACTGCCATCTGCAGAGAGCAGGTTGGCAAATTAATGGGCCATCAGTGTAGCAGCACTTAAAGTGCCAAAGTGCAAATAGGGGGATGTAAGGTTGGAATCAGGGATGTACATGCCGTGACACCTTTGTCCCAGCTGACGTTCTGCACAATGCATGGTGCATCTCAGGAATGGATTTTATACTCTATTTCTTAAATGCTGGTTTTTTGTTCTTTTAGGAGGAAAACTGATGCCCTTCTGTTCCTCCCACGTCCTCCCCAGACCATTTGCAGCTGGAGGCAGCAGGATTGTGCTTATGCACGTGCTGTGCCCGGGAGCTCCCTGAAAACCTCTGCTGTGTGAAGGGCTTGGCCACAGCAGTGCAGCAGAACTGCTACTAAATACCATCACGGGGAATAAAACCAACAGATCCCAAGGCGTCTGTGTCGGTGACCACTCGGAGGCCTGACTTTGCTGTGATTTATCTCCCCTCACACTGAGGGAGCGGCTGCAGCACGTCCCGAGGCTTGGAGCTGGTTCTGGTTTCAGCCCAGCTCTGTGTCCCTGTTCCCCTGTGAGACCCTGTGCCACAGCACCAGTAACAGTGTGTGAGGCAACATGATCAGCAATAAACGATGTGAGTGTTTCTTACAAAACAAAAGACTCATCCCCTCACTTCATCCCAGGACATGCTTTGTTCCCTCAGGAAACACCTTCCAGGTGAGGAGTGAACAGCCCACCCGGTTCCTGCCCATGTCCCAGCACATGGACATGGAGCTGCTGGAGTGAGTTCCGAGAGGCCATGGAGATGCTCCCAGGGCTGGAGCCCCTCTGCTCTGGAGGGGCTGGGAATGTTCACCTGGAGAAGGATCCAGGGAGACCCGAGAGCCTCTTCCAGAGCCTAAAGGGGCTCCAAGAGAGCTGGAGAGGGACCAGGGACAAGGGATAAAGGGACAGGACACAAGGAATGGCTTCCCACTGCCAGAGGGCAGGGTTAGATGGGATATTGGGAAGGAATTTCTGGCTGGGAGGGTGGGGAGGTGCTGGCACAGGTTGCCCAGAGAAGCTGTGGCTGCCCCTGGATCCCTGGAAGTGTCCAAGGCCAGGTTGGACGGGGCGTCCCTGCCCATGGCAGGGGTTTGGACTGGATGAGCTTTAATGTCCTTTAACGTCCCTCACGGTCCCCGCGTCCCCTCCCGCCCGCCCCGGGCTGTGACGCCCCCACAGCCCGACCCGCCCTCAGGGCACGGCGAGGCCGCGCTCTCGCGAGAGCTGCGTGGGCTCCTCTCGCGAGAGCGGCGGGCGGGGCGCCGCGGTGGCGGCTGAGCCGGGCGGGCCCAGCTCGGTCCGTGCCCAGCTCGGTCCGTGCCCGGAGCTTGGGCTCGGTCCCTCCCGGCCCGGCCGGCACCGCCTCCGCCACCGCCTCCGGCTCCGGCTCCGGCTCCGGCTCCGGCTCCGGCACCGGCACCGCCCGCTCCGCGCCCCTCGAGCACAGCGCCGGCCTCGCCGGCTCCCCTTCCCCGCCGCCTTCAGCGCCCCCCCGGGGGTCCCCCCTTTCCCCCTCGCCCCCGGTCCCCTCAGGGCCCCCGCGCGGCCCCCCCGGTGCCCGGACGCCGCCGCCCCCTCGGCCTCCCCCATGGTGGGGTTCGGGGCGAACCGCCGGGGCGGCCGCCTGCCCTCGCTGGTGCTGGTGGCGCTGCTGGCCGTGATCGCCGTGCTCGCCTTCCACTGCTGGAACGCGGCGTCCCGCCAGGCCCTGCTGCGGGAGGAGCTGGCCGAGCTGCAGAGCCAGGCCCAGCGCACGGAGGTGGCGCGGGGCCGCCTGGAGCGCCGCAACTCCGACCTGCTGGGCAAGGTGGACTCGCACAGGAAGCAGCTGGAGCAGAAGGAGGCGGACTACAGCCACCTGAGCAGCCAGCTGCAGGCCAGGGACGGCCAGGTGAAGCGCTGCGAGGACGGCAAGGTAAGGGGGGGGGGTCCCCGCTGCCCTGGGGCGGCTCTGTCGGTCCTCCCCCGCCCAAGGTGTCCCCGCAGCCTCTGCTCCTCAGGGGTGAAACAGGACCCCGAGGCGCTGGGCTGGTGCTGTGGGACAACTGCAGTGCGCTCCGGTTTCTGAAAACACCCCTAAAGCCGGCTGGAAACGTCCGGGGTGTGTGCGAACAATGAACACCCCCCGAGCTCGCCCTTTTCCATAAGGCTGTTTTAAATTTGTTTGTTGTTTTTTGAGCTTTCTGTCTCTGCTGAGGTTATTTGATCTTTTGTGATCAGGCAAGAAAACCCAGACAGAGCCGTAAAGCTGCAGTTTCAAGGGAAATGAAACCCGTGTGCTCTTCGGTGGCACCCCGAGCTTGCCTCTCGGAATGCCTGGCACAGCACACTCTGATTTTTATGCTGCCAGCGTGTGCTTGGGGAAAAAAAATCCTGCTGCTGACATAACGTGTCATTTTGCTTGGCTTAGAGCAGCCAAGCTCATACAAAACTCAGCTGGTCCTTTCAGTGGGGGTGGCCTGGGGATCTCTTTGTTGTGGAGGATGAGTGAGTGCCTCGACTTTCACTGTTCCTCTTTCATAACCATCTCGAGAGCTTCCCAGGGCTCAGCACACAAGTTCTCCTGCTGAGGGTGAGTGCGGGGAGTATTTGCATGCAGGTCATCTCTCCGTTCCTTGAACACTGTTCTCACAGTGGGATTTGTGGAAATGCCACACTCTCAGGGTTATTGCTGGCTGGGTTTGGGTTTTTGGCCCTTTATATCACACAGAGGATGAGCCGCATAAAAAATGCATTTAATTGTCAGAAAAAGCTGAATACTTGCATGCCCCATTCCAGAGTTAGACTCCCTCAAAATGGTTAAGTTTGTATTAAAGTTTCCTACAGAACCATTAAAATTAAGCCCTTTGTGTGTTCAGCAAATTTATTTTTTTCCCCCCGAGATTGGACTAAAAAGCCCAATTAGGTATGGAAGGGACTCCATGATCTTAAAGGTGTTTTCCAACCTCAGTGATTCAGTGATTCTAAAGCAGTTGGGTTTTAGCCAAGACACTTCCCTTCTGTCTGCAGAGGGGCAATCAGCTTGTTTGGTGTGTTAGTGTAACTGCCTGCAGGCGTAGAACTGCCCTGGTGGGGTTCAGGTAAGCTATCAGGAAGGATTCAGGAAGTGTTTCTTCCTGGAAAGGGTGGTCAGGCCTTGGCAGGGGCTGCCCAGGGAGGTTTGGAGTGCCCAGCCCTGGAGGTGTCCCAGGAAGGCCTGGCCGTGGCACTCAGTGCTCTGGGCTGGGGGACAGGGTGGGGATGGGGCACAGGGGGGATCCATGGGCTGGGAGGGCTTTTCCAGCCTCAGGGATTCTGTGCTCCAGTTTCTGGGCTCTGTGACAAGGGGTACAAGACATGTGTGTTTTTGTGGAACTCTGTGATGTGTTACTGTAGGACACTGGAACAGAAGGTGCAGGTGCTGTTGGGGGTGTAGGATGGTCTCCTGGGAGCCAGGGCCCCTGGATGCACAGGAGACAAACAGGGTCTGTTGGCCTGCACCTGCCTGCTGAGCACTGGGTGTTCCCCATAAATCTGCCTGGGGTTTGGGTGCTCTGGGGGTGGGACATTGCACAGGGAGGGCAGCAGGAGGAACGTGCCAGGGGGACCCCAGAGGTTAAATTCACTGTTCATCGCCTGCAGCGTGTACCCTGTGTCTTCCTTCTTTGTTCCAGAGGCTGCCAGTTAAGGCCCTGTGAGCTCATGGACTTTGACCATCCCCTCTCTTGTGTTTAAAATGCTTGTTGTACCCTAAAAGGCCAGAATAGCAGGATTTTATCAAAAAGCAGTCACTGGCCTTTTTCCTCCCATGTGAGCCACTGTCTTTTCTCAGGGGCAACAATTCTAACCTTTCTCTAAAAAAAAACCCCTTTTAAGTGACTGTGTTTAAGTGACTGTACTTCTCTGAGAGAATAAAGCTTTGTTTTAGAGAGTAAAGATCTGTCACCAAAAATGGTAGCAGATATAAAGTGTCCAGCCAAAAAAGACTTGAATAATTTTTTTTTGTCTCGAAACAGAACTTGGCAAGTCTATTTGACTAAACTGCTTTTTACCAGTGATCATAGTCCATTTATGAAATGCAGGAGCTCAAATAAAACCCCAGCACTGGTAATTCCCAGGGTATCAAGTGATCACAACAAATCCAGGCTTATTTCATGGAAAACGGGTTTGAAAGGTGTTGCTCTGGTGGTTCTCAGTGTCAGTTCTGCTTTGTGCTCCTTTGTCCTTAGCTGAGGTTCTTTGCTTTGTGGTCACATAAATCAAGTGCCTTTCCCAGTGCTGAGGCAACTCCAGTTTCTGCAGCAGCTTCCCCTTGGCTCAGGGATCTCTGGAGTCCCCTGGCTCAAGGATCTCTGGAGTCAAGCCCAAACTCTTGGCTCTCCCCTCTCTCCCCGGGGTGTGGAATGAGCTGGGATATGTTTGCTCTTAGGAGCAAATGTGGGACCATGACCTTGGTGTCTTGTGTTTAAAAAGAAAGAGAAAAAACTTGAGTTCCTGGGAGTTCTGCTCTGTCACCCTGTGATGAGCTCCTTGGTGATCTCTTGTGCCTTGGAACAAACCAGGAGTTCTCTCTTGGAGCTCCCTGTGAGAGGCAAACAGGGGTAGTGCCTGCCTGGAGTTTGGGGAGGTGCTGCATGCACAGGTAGCATCAGCTTCCTGAGTATTCCATGGTTTTTTGTAGCATACCATTAGGGTGTGGGTTTTTTCCATAGCTTCCCACATCCGTTTGCAAGAGGGTCAGTAAAAGGCGTGGCTGGCAGGAGTTGGTGTGGAGAGATTGCAGGTGGCAGGGTCCTGGCTGCAGGGACCAGGCCAGGGAGGAACACAGCCTGGCCCTTCCCTGCTGCCCAGCAATGCTTGGGTCAGACACCCCTGGGAGCAGCTGGCTCTGTTGCTTGTTGCCAAAACTCCCTGATAACTCCCCAGACCGCAAAGCTGCAGCTTCACAGCAGCGAAGTGGAGTTGTTGTATGACAAGACTTACAACCCAGACAGCGCTGGAGGGTTGCCATGGGTCCATGCACAGGATTTCTGGTGGGTTTTGCTGTGCAGGGCTCATTGGGCTGCAGAGGGTTTATTTTCTCTGTCCCAAGTGCTTGGACAGGCCCTGAGGAGCCCCTGAGAGCCCTGAGCACTACAAACAGGTCTAGACTGAAGGAGGATGTGGCTCAGGAAGAACTGGACCTGCACCGTGGCTTGTGGGATTTGCATGTGTAGGTGGAACAGATCCCATGAATCATAAAAAAGCTTCTTCCCTTTCTATCCTTCAGATGAGGGACATTTGCTGTCAGCTGAGCTGGATATAAATTCTGTCACTTCTCTCTGAAACTCAGAATCACCAAAATGAAAGAGTGTGTGATCAAACTGCTGCTCCTGCTCACAGGCCAGGCCGTGTGGTTATGGGATGAGCAGGAGCCAGTGGGAAGGGTTACTTGCAAGGAATTCTGAGAGATGAGGGTTTGAAACCAGACCCCACTACTTCCCAGGGTCTCCTTCGTTTGTAGATTTACTGGGTTCTGGGAAACAGCTGCATTAGAGTGGAAAACAGAAAATTGTGGTGATTATTGTCAGTGGTTTTGCAAAATAGGGAAAGATACTTTTTCATTAGTGCTCAACAAATCACTGTGTGCACCTTCCCCCTGTCCTGGGTCTGTGGGAGGGGGAACTGGCATGGTGGGCACCTGGGGCATGGAAAGGCTTGGTGATGACTTGTGTCTCCTCTTTCCCTGTGAAATCCCCACCACAGGGCTACCTGTGCTTTTGAAGTGAAGCTCTGCAAGTCCAAGCCAGGCCGTCCCTGGATGGGGTGTTGCTTTGGGCATCCTGTAAGTAGAGAGCCTTGAATGCCTCGGTGGGCAGAGCATGTGGCAAACATGGCTCTGACATGCCAGGAGGCTCCTTGAGGGTCCTTTGGGGCGGGGTATTTTCTCCCTGTTCCAGAGCAGTGTGATCAGGGGGCTCAGGTTACCCAAAGATCACATTCCTAGTGGAATTAATAAATGCTGACAGATTAACTGTGGAGCTGGACTTTTCAGTTACGTTCTGGGGTTTGAAGGAAATATGTTCAAGGCCATTCTGTTTATTTTACTGTTCTTTCTGCTCTGTCCCTAATTTTTCAATTCCACTTGCTTTCGTTTTTTGGGAAAAGCCTTGTGAAGCAGCTCTGTGTCCCCTCATAGGTGGGAGCTGTGGTTGTGTCCCTCCACACTCCAGAACTCTTGGCTTTTGTTCTGGGCATGGGACAGGGCCTGCAGCCCCCCCATGTGTCCTGCTGCCAGGGATGAGCCAGGATCCTGCAGGCTGGCCCAGAGGCTCTGGTTGGAGCACTGTGCATCCCAAGGAAGCTGTGCTGCATCCCAAGGAAGCTGTGCTGCATCCCAAGGAAGCTGTGCTGTGTGCCGGGAGCTGCCGGATGGTGTTCCGTGTACACCGGGAGCTGCACAAAGCGCCACCGCAGCAGTTCCTGCAGGGCTGCAGTCCCAGGGCAGGAGTGCCTGATCACACCACAGGGGACAAAGGGATCAGCCCAGTCCGGGGGCCTCTGGTGACAACAAAACACCACGGGAAAGAGCTTGAAATGAATGAATGATTTGACAAAGGGAAGGCGAGGTGGGGGCAGGAAGCCCTCCAGGGCAGGTGTGTTTGGGGTTTGTTTTGGCAGGAAGTGGAGATGACTGACTCAGACACTGCAGGGCTGGGGGAACTGAAACAGCCCCTGTGTGGGGGGGGGGGTGTGGGTGTGCCAGCCCAGTGGCTGTGCTGGCACTGCTGTCCCCAGAGGTGATGCTGACCTTGTCCCCCACGAGTGACAGCCCCACTCAGCACCTTCCTAGAGTTACCCTTTCTATCATCATGGAACTGCAAGAGGAATAACCTCTGGGGTGCTTCACTGCAGGTGGGGATTTTCCACCCTTTCTCAGCATAGTCAATTCATGCATCTTCCTCTTCATTCCTGCTGGGTTTTGTCTTTATGTAACAACAGGAAAAAGCATCTTTACTTCAAGACTTTGTGTACATGCATTTCTTACTTACTGTAACTGGTATTCTTTTCCTTACTGAAAATACCAAATTAAAAGCTGTTGTGGAATTTTACTGGTGTCAGATTCCCTCTTAAAATAAAATTTGTGTTAGGAATATTAAGTAGCAACACATAAGAGATTTATTTAAATATAACAATTCTATTATATGATATACCTTAGGTAACAATTGGTTTTGCTGTTGATGCTGCGGGTTTAGTTTTACCCACCTGTGCTTTGACATTGGCCATTCACTGTCCCTCCTGCAGTATCAGGATGCAGCGTGTTTATTTTAGTCCTGACAATCTACTTTTTTGATAGAAATGTGTTCTGGAATTAAATTTAAGCCCTTGTTAGCAAAGCCTGAATACAGTGTTAGTTTGGTGATGTCACTAAATACACAGGACTTGGATTTCCCAGAACTTTTTCGTTCCCGTAATCCTCTCCATAACTGGCTTTAAAAGCAAACAGACACACCTGAGTGTTTGCAGCCCAAACCCTCACCAACCCCCTGTTACCTGTATTTATCCAGCCTTTTCTTCCTTCCAGGTGAAGCTGCAGAACAACATCTCGTATCAGATGGCGGACATACATCGGCTAAAGGGTGAGCGATTCGTGGCCAAACTCGCTTGGCAGGCTGGAGCTGTGCACTTTAGCTGCCCAGGTGCTGCAGAATGCAGTTTAAAGGAAGGATCAGGTTGTGCTGGAACATCCCATAATGTGCAATCCCATTGTATTTGTTGGTTACCTGTTGTGGGTAAGTGCAGGGTTGGCTCTTGTGGACGTGGCTGTCTGCAGAAGGAACGTGTGCTCTGGCACTGCTGACCTCCAAGGCTGTAGAACCGTTTCCATGGCCAAATACACAGTTTAGTATAGTTTGATCAGAAACACTGTGATGATTATGCTGGGTTAGAAAAGCTCCAGAAAACACCTCTTAAGGCTGTTCTGTACAGACATGATTATAATGCCTGTGATCTTACTGTGTCTGGAGTATTGCAGAGGGAGCTGGAGCAGCGAGTGTCCAGACGTGAACATGCCTGCACACAGCAACACACGTGGTTTCTGCCTGTATCTGTGCAGCTGCAACTTAAACCAGCAGAAAGTTTAATTACTTGTAGCCTGAGGAGCAGGGAGAACTTCCAGAGCAGTTGTGGAGACAGGAAATACGTGTTGATTTTATGGATAGCGGGAAGGTGCCTCCTTTCGTACAGTCACTACAGACAATGTTTGAGCATCGTGCCTGAAGTAACCTGGTAGTGCTTTTGTGTTACTCAGAGTCACAGAATCTTTCAGGAAATTGCATTTCCTGACAGATGGTGAAATTGCATTCAGAAGCCTTACACAATGCTAAGGTAAATAAAAATTTAGGGGGTTTGCCATAGCATCAGAAGAACCTCTCTAATTTGTGCTGCCATCTGGCACTTGTCTTTACATGACTGAAGTGGCATCTTCTTCAAATTAGTGTAAGAATCTTTATATCTAGATGAACTAACATAAAACTCAAGCAGTTTTTTACTTATTTAGCAATACTGAAAGTTGTGTGTGCCCCAGGGCATTTTTCCTGTATTTCTCAGTTCACGTTGGTGTTCCCTTTCTGGCCTAGAGCAACTGGCGGAGTTACGGCAGGAGTTCATCCGCCAGGAGGATCAGCTGCACGAGTACAAGAAGAACAACACCTACCTTACAAGGAGGCTGGAATATGACAGGTGTGTCCTCAGGAGTGCTGGGAACTGCAAGTTTGTGCGTGTGATGGGGGTCTGTATTTACTAAAAAGTGCTAATTAATCCTGTGTCTGCTAATCCTCCAGCTTGAGTGTTGCTCACTTGGCAATGCACAGTAGTAGCTGTTTGACTTTCAAGTTCTGTTTCTTGGTGGTGTCCTACTCCTCCCTCAAAGTGAGATAGGAGTTAAGGGGAATCTTGACTTACTCTGGAATTATTCATCATTTTTAAGTCAATGCATTTTTTATGACATGGAGATTTAGTTAACAAACACATGGCAGAGTTTAATGGACACTGTGTCCATTAAACTGTGTCACTAGTGTTGTTAATTGCTGCCTTTCTAACAGTATAATTTCATTTGTTTTAACTGAAGCTGAAAGCAGCCCTGCTTAAAATTTTAAACTTAAAATTATAAGTTGACCTCAGTCTTTTAAATTGGTGATGGAGAAACTGGAAGAATATACTCCTGCAGCTTTGAGGAGTGAGGGAGGTTTAACACTTGAAGTGTTGGAAGCTTTCACAAACACAAAATGCTCTTTCTGTGCTGTTGAGGGTTTGTGGGAGATGGGAATTCTGCTGCTCAGGCTGATGTCTGTGGCTTGTTAGGGAAGTTGGGACACGTGGCTGTGTATTCAGATTGTGTTATTTGAGTTGGGAGCAGTAACTGATAGTGGTAGTTGTGTACCTTCTCTGTTGACAGCCATGAAAGACACGTTGCTTTCCCGGTAGAATTAATATTTGCTGGCAGATTAACTGTGGAGCTTGACTTTTTGGTTGCATTCCAGCTTTTGGAGGAAATATATTCAAGGCCATTCTGTTTGTTTTACTGTTTTTTTCTGCTCTGTCCCTATTTTTTCCAGTTCTGCTTTCTTTCTGTATTCAGTCCATTCCCACTCCATACACATGCCAGGACCAGGCTTTTTGGACAGACTATTCTAGTTATATCTCAGGTTTGGCTTTTTGTGCCACTTCATATTTTCCCCCTTATTTGATTTGTGGGAGAGCAGGTACAACAAATGAAATATATCTAACGGTGTGTTTCTCCTCAAGCCTGCAGTGTGGGCAGCAGATCAAGGAAATGAGGCTGCAGCATGAAGAGAACATCAAGAAATTAATGGACCAGGTTGCACGGGAACAAAAGGTAATGCCAGGGAATTTTGTGTTGAGTGAGAAGAGCCCAAAGTCTGCTGTTTGCCTCAGGAATGTGGAGGCCTGGGACAGTTCTCTCCTAATGCTGTGTTAAACATCCCCCTGAGCAGCCCTAAATGGGTGTTAATGAAGGAAATCTGCCTGTTTGCTCAGCCAGTGGACTGAGCTGGAAGATGAGAACAGATTCTTTGCTTTGCTCCAGCCTTCCTCCATCCAGCATTGCTGAGGGTTTCAGTTCTTCCTGGAACGTGGATGTTGCTGCTCAGCTCTCCAGGGTGGGATCTGTGTTCCCACAGCCTTGCCCAGGTTATTGCAGAGGGAACCTGAGCTCTGCTGAGGCCTCAAGGTGCTAATGTGATGGAAATAACAGGGTTGGAATGGTGTCAAGGCTGGGATTACATGAAGCTGCCAGTAGACTTTGGGCCTCTTTCCTGCAAACTGATGAAATAACCCGCTTTGCTTAAAATTTTGTTTTCTTCCTTTGTCTGTCTATAAACATCTCAAATAATAAGGCAGACTGAGAGCAGATTTCCAACAGATCTTTTCTTACGGTCTAGAATTCCTTCAGGGATCTGACCTGAGGCTTGAGACCAACCATGCCTTAAGCTGTTTGTGTTGTCCTTAGCAGCTGATCTGGCAATAGAAATGTCCTGCAGCTGTGCTGTTCTGTGCATTGTCTGTTCAGTTGTGTGTCCATACCCCAGGAGCCAGGTTTGTACAGAGAGGACTCTGCTCTTTGCTTTGCCTATCAGTGAGGTCATAAATGCAATTTTGCTTACCCAAAGTAATCTTAAATTCGGGGGCATTTGTTTTGTAATTTCCAGGCATGTGCTTAATATTGGCTCCTTATGAATTTGTTCTAACAGGCCACACAAAAAATTCAGTCCAGTAAAGACACTGAAGTCAGTCCCAGCAATGATGGCCAGGCAGTACCTGAGACTGTTGCAGAGGGGGAAGGTAAAGACACAGAGAAGAATGAGGAGCCTTCAGAGCATGTTGTAAATGACAAAGGTATTCCCTTTTTTGGCATTTCTGATGGAGAATGGCCCAGCTGCGTTGCATCCTTTGCCATCCTCCAGAACTATGCATTTCTCTGAAGTAGAATAAGGAATTGTTTGGCTCAGATAACTTGATTAGCTGCAGTGATTTTACTAAGTTAGAGCCTCCCACAAGGGGGAAATTCACTGTTCAGACTGGAAGGTTAGTAAGGCAGAATATCCTGTTCTTGTCTTGCAGAGAAAATCAAAGCAGGAGGAGATGCAGGCATGCCTGAAATAGAAGATAATGACCCAGCAAAAGCTGAAGATACTCCCACTGGTGAGGAGAAATACTCTAATTCTTTCATGTTTGGGGTCTTGGTGACGTATATATTGTGTGTGAACACCATGTGGTTCACAGTGAATGCAGGGCTTTGAAATCTCTGTGGTAATAAAATTCAAGTGCAATGTGAAATCAGATCATTTCTGCTGTGCTTTAGAGGTTGGAATGCTCAAAACTGAATGTTTCAGATAATTCCACTCCTGAAATATTATTGTATTTTATATTTTCATCGGTGGTTTAAAACCAAGAAAACAAGGAAACCAAAGACTTTACGGGGTTGTTAGAGTTAGACCAGGTAAATAGTGTCTTGTTTGTTTGCTGTTAATGCTTTTGTCCCCGTGTTTTGTTTTAGCTTTAAAGAAGACACTTATTTCAGCTCCTAAAGGTGAAGGTCATCCACCTGTTGTGAATCTTCCAACTGAGCAGCCCCACGCTCCAAACCTGGCACCAGGTACAATTCCTGTTAGCAGGTGACAAGGCAATATTTTGGTTACCAGAGGAAAACCAAAGATAACTTCCTGCAGGATCCAAAGTTGTGTTCTTACCTGGCTGGCTGAGGCACTCGGGCTGCTTGGTGTATGATCTCCACACCCGGAATTCCTGGGCCTTTTGGCCGATTTCAGCCAAATCTGAGTTAGAAGTTTCAAAGATAAGTGCTTGGAGAGTCCTCCAGTGGACAGAGTAATTGAAATTACTGTTCCTCCCTAGGGTACTAATTAGGGCTGCACCCTCAGGGGTTGGTTGTTGATCTCTTGGTGGCCACAGTCAGAGATAAACCAATGTTCCTGTCTCTTGCTCAGAGTCCTCCTGCCCCTGGGAACAGCTCACTTGAGAATGATGTGAGGGAGGTTTAGGACATGAGAACTGGAACTCCTGCAGTGATATAACTTTAATATTAATAAATTAAATATAAAGTTGTCAAGATGACAAAACAGCTCCAAGTTTTTGTTCTGCCCGTTATTGGTTCTTTTGGAAAAAGACAACAGAAGTTTTTCTTTATTTCTTTCCTTTTGCAGTGGATGTGTGAGCAGAATTCCAAAATGAGGGAGCTCAAAGGCTGCATACACAGTTAAAGATTGTTGTTTCCAAATGCCAAATCTTTAACAGCTTGTTTCCTTTAAAGGTGGTCCTTCATTTTCACTTTTATTGATGAGAAAACATAAGATGCAGCAAGCGAAAAGCTTGCTTTGTTGAACTTGGAGTTTATGGACAGGAGTTTGATGGGAATTTCAGGGAAATCAGGTTTTCTTGGCTCCTTGGCTGTGGAGTCCTGTGATTCTGGTTATTGTTTTTAGCATAACTTCTGTGCCCTGCCACACCCTTGTCCTCAGATCAGACCTCTAAACAATAAATGATGTTTGGTAGACTTGAAAAGCAGAATCAGCAGGAGGATAAAGGAAATACATGAATGTGTTGTTCTGAGCTTCCTCGAGAGCTGAAGCACGTGCAGAAAGTCAGCTGGGGAGGTGATGAGGTGGGATTGATTAGGAATTAAAATGTGCCTTCTGTGGAGCCGTGTAAGACCTGCAGGCACTGACAGCTCCTCACTGCAGGTTTGCCCAGCGACAGTGATGGAAACGCCGACCTCGCCAAGCAGATCCCTCCAAATTCCCTCCAGCGCCTGAACTTTGAAGAAAAGGTGGAAACCCAGAAAGAGCACAAAATTGAGACAGACCAGATAAAACTCCCAAAGAGCCGAGTTAGCGACTTGCAGAAGATTAAGCAAAGTAAGTTGGCCAATATCACACACTTCAGTAAATTAAACAAATCCCTTCGTTTTCTGTCTGTGGTAGTGCCTGTCTGGGAAACAGGGACCATTGCAGAGGGTGGCTTTGGAGAGGGAGCCTGGGAAGGACTGTAATGTGTTCCTAGGTAAAAGATATGCTTTAATGTGTTATTTTTCACATGTATATTCAGTTATTTAAAAAATTATTTCCTTATTGGAGTTTAGAATGCTTTTGGAAATGACTGCACAATTAAATAGATTAAGGCAGGACTTTGGTACACACAGGATATTGAGTTACTCACTGTATTACTTGACTTAAATACTGTGTTTTGGACAATATTGTAAGAATTCAGCCCCTACACCAGGGGTCTTTGTGGTGGGGGCAATGTGTGTTGGACAGAACGTGGTTCCAGAACTTTCCCTTCCATATCTGCTCAAGGCAGGAGCCTCCAGGCAGGTGCACATGGGCGTGGGTGTTGTGGGTGATACTATTTTTGAAGACCCAGTTCTGACTGTTTAGTGCTTGGGTGGGAAAGGGTGTTTGGGAGGGAAAACTTACTGCTGAAACATCTCCTCTTGGGGTTTTTTTATCCAAATAAGATTTTTGTGAAGAAACAGATCTTTTGGGAAGACTGTGGTTGTTCTAACATGACTCGTGGGTCTCTGTGATGCAGCAGGGATAGGTGTATTAGGTTGGCACAGAACCTGGGCAGTCTTGGCTTCCCCTCTGCACTCTGAGATCTTCAAGGCTGCTTAGTTTATCAAGGGAGCTTCCTGAAGAAGCTTCAGGAATGAGAGACCTTCCTATTGAAGTTGTTGGGTTTTTAATGGATTATCTGTTTTCCTTGGCCATGTTTTAAATGATGGGGGGGTCTAGTTGTGTAGGCAGGAGCTGTGCAGGAAATGTCTCCATTGTAGGCTAGGAGGGGGTACCTGGGAGCCAGGACTTGTCACTGGTTAGTCTGTTCTCTTTGCTCCTTCATATTTGGGTTAGATGGGATTTGGGGAAGAAATTCTTCCCTGTGAGGGTGGGGAGGCACTGGCAGATTGCCCAGAGAAGCTGTGGCTGCCCCTGGATCCCTGGAAGTGTCCAAGGCCAGGTTGGATGGGGCTTGGAGCAACTTGGGCTGGTGGAAGGTGTCCCTGCCCATGGCAGGGGTGGGATGGGGTGGGTTGGGCTTATGGGGGGTCCTGCACACCAGGGGCTCACTGAGCTCAGCTCACAGCCTGTGTGGACCTGCTGCATTTCCTGGGATCTCCTCATCATTTTGATTTTTCCTTCTGTCAGCTTCAGTTCATTCAGTGCTTGTGTGTCACTACCTCTGGCACATCCACAGGTTTTGCTGGAAGTTGGATACATTCCCTTGTGTTTCATGGCTCGGTTTAGGTTTGACATGTGCAAATCCTCCTGTCCTTGCCTGGGTTTTGCATATAATGCAGTGTCAAAAATACCAACAGTAATAGCCAGGATCACTCAATTAGACATGAACAGGGAATGAATAATGTATGGAACTTGGGATTTCTAAATAGATGATGGTTTTTTCTTGCTTGTTCTGTGAAAATACCTGAAACTGCTGCTTCTGTCCATATGAGCTGCACTGGGTGTGATTCTGCTGCTTTTCTCCCCATCCAGAGAAGAACCATAGTACTGCTTCTGTCTTGATCTTTATATACTGCCACACAGAAAAGTTTTCATTGTTTTGGGAAATAATTTCATTTTCATATCTGTCCCCTTTTAATCCTGAGGTTGAACTCATCCTCCCGTTTACTTCTCTGTTAATTACTCCCAGTGCAGATCTCTCACCACCTGCCCCAGCAGCCTTGGTGCCCAGTCTGTAAGGATTGTATCACACTTTAAGGCATTGTTTTCATTTATACCCAATCCTCCAGGCCTGTGGCCTCTACAGACTCAGAGCTGCTCCCTTCAAGCAGACTGTGCTGGGCTGGAACAGCTCTCCCTGCATCTGAACTGGACATCACACCAGTGGTCTCTCTGGATGCCTGGCTGACTGTCTGCTCATTCCATAGTTCCGGCTAATTCCCGTTTTTCTTGTGCATTGTTTCAGGATCTGGAACTATTCCTAATTTTTTGTTGGGAGGTGAAAATACTGGGTTTGGGACATTTTGAACCCCGTTAAAGCTCAGCAGGAGAGCAGAGTGTAAAGCCAAATGAATGAGGTGGTTACAAGCCGAGGTCAGCCTGCAGGGCAGGGCTCTGCTGGGTTCCCCTGTGCCAGCTGGGCACACCCTGCAGGCATTGCCAGGCACCACATCAGCAGTGGATCCCTGCAGCGTGTGGAAAATGCCAGGCCTCAGGAAAAATGGATACTAAACCTTCCACGGAGCGATGCTCTTCAGAGTTTTGAGAAAACCTGTCAGTGCCCATAGGCAATGCAAGGTGGTTGTCTGGGGGCTCACTGCAGCCCTTCTCCACCGAGAGAGGAGCTTGGGACAGTCAGATTCCAGGAGGTCCAAGTGCTGGGTGACAGAGCGTGTCCTTTCCACACGGGGGTGCTCCATAAGCCTTGTTCTCCCCCTGTCCAAGCCCTCTCCCTTCTCCCTCCTCTCTCTCCAGCTGGAACTACCCCAGACCCAACTGCCTCCACCCGTGACCTGCTCTCGTGTAGAATCTCCCTGTTTCTTTCCTCTCTGCTGCTGACTCACTCCTTTCCTACTCCACAGGCCGGTTCTTTGATGAGAATGAATCCCCTGTGGACCCGCAGCAGGGTTCTAAACTGGCAGATTATAATGGGGATGATGGGAACGTGGGTGAGTATGAGGCAGACAAACAGGCTGAGCTGGCTTACAATGAGGAAGAGGATGGTGATGGTGGAGAAGAAGACGTCCAAGGTGAGCTTGGGCCTTATCTCCATCCCATTGTGATAAATCCACGCTGAGTTACTTGTTGAATTTGTGTAAAGCCTCGCTGGTTTAGCTGATCACAAATTGCTCAGACAGAGCACCAGTCTTCAGGGAGAGGGTGTTGACACCTCACTGCAGTTGGGTATAGTTCCTGCTAGGAAAAGCAAGGCACTAAATTCCAGCCATGGTTTTACCCAAACCCCCAGCTCTGGCCCCTGGCTGGGTGGCCCGTGGGCATTGACATTCCCAAATTGTCCAACAGAGGAATGTGGTGTTTTGGGTGCTGCTCTGGTCACACCTGCCTGGAGCTGTTGTGCAGTGGGGCCTCAGGCAGCGATTCCAGGTGTCACTCCTGTGCATTATACACAGATTCAACAGGCTTGTGGTGTTCTTGCTAACCAGCCTCCGAGCTCCTGAGCCAGTGCTGCCTAATGCCCCTGTGTGTGCATGGCCACCCCTCCTGCATGTGGCTCCTGCATCCCCTCCCTCGCTTGCCTGTCCCTGCCTGTGCCTGCCGCTGTCTGCCATGTGCCTGCCTTGTCTGCCATTCTCCATCCAGCTGTGGGGACATCTGGGACAGGCCTGCATGTCTGTAGGGGGAGAATGTTTGTGTACATAGAGAGTATTTCCAGTTAAATGAAAGTGTAAAATAAAGAGGGGGAAAAAACAGGAGATGGTAAATCAGCCCCCTGATTTTGACCCTCATAATGTAAGTTTTTAGCTGGAGGTTTTTCAGACACGTATTTAATTGGTATCTAAGCATAATTAATGGGCAAAGCTGTTAAAAAGCAGCTGTGTGGGCATGTACTAAGTGCAGTGTCAGCAGGCTGGGCTGGGCTGGGCTGGGCTGGGAGTGTGAAACTCATGAACAAGGGAAAGAAAAGGATGGATCAGAACCCCGAGTGATTAATTAACTGACTGATGAACTGCAACCCTCTGCTCCAGCTGAGGCCTTTTCTGTGACCCTTGTGCTCAGAATTCACAGTGGGTTTGTGTGCTCACCCCTGTCCCTCCAGAGGGGGATCCTTGGGCTGTCATCTGCTCATCCCAGCTGGCAGCTGCAGGAAGGCACAGCAGGATTTAGGTTGGATGGGCTTGGAGCAACCTGGTGTAGTGGAAGGTGTCCCTGCCCATAGCAGAGGGTGGAATGAGGTGGGCCTTAAGGTCCCTTCCCACCCAAACCACGCCGTGGTTCTGTGATTCCCGGTGTTCCTGTTGGTGCTGGGGCAGTGGGAGCCGTGTTCCTCACGGTTCTGGTGTGTCCTGAGCCGGGAGTGGGGGTGTCCCGTGTGTCCCTGTGCCCTGCACACCCCACCAGTGCCTGGGGGGTTCCTGCTTTAGTCCCGTTGCCCTCAGTCAGCAGCGGGCCATGGCCAGCTCCTCACTGCAGTGCTTCCTTTCCTGGGCTTCAGGATGCAGCTCTGGAAGTTCTGACCAAGGCCATGGAAGTGCTGCAGAGGCTGTGCTGGGCTGTGCCCTCTGCCTCGCTCAGCCTGGCACTTGTGCCTGCCCACAGCCCGGCTGTGCTGCCCACCGGGAGGGTGGGGGGAGGTCGTGGGACCACGGAGTCACTGAGGTTGGAAAAGCCCTCTAAGGCCATTGAGTCCAAGCTTCCCCAGCACTGCCAAGGCCACCACTGACCCGTGTTCCCAAGTGTCACATCCACACATCTGTTAAATCCCTCCAGGGGTGGAGACTCCATGCCTGCCCTGGGCATCTGTGCCAGGGCTGGACAACCCTTTCCATGAAGGAATTGTTCCCAGTATCCAACCTGAACCTCCCCTGGCACCACTTGAGGCCGTTTCCCCATTTGTCCCTTGTTCCCTGGAATCAGAGCCCGACCCCCTCGTGGCTCCCCCCTCCTGGCAGGTGGCTGGAGGTGGCTGCCCTTGTGGGGATGCAGTGCCCTGGCCCTGTCCCTCGGAGCTCCTGCTGCTCCATCAGCACCAGTACCTGGCTGGGGGGCCTTCCCAGGGAGTGTGGCTTCAGGAGTCAGTGCCAGGTGTGCTGTGAGCAGTTCCCAGTGGCATGGACAGCATTCCCATGTGCCACTTAGGAAAGGGTGGGTGTGAGGCAGTGACAAGTGGTGCCAGGTTGTTAAAAAACAGATTGTGCTTGTGTGGCTTGCAGTGTGAGGGGTGTTTGAAAAAGCAGTGCTCTGACTGACAATGACCCCATAAAACCATCTCCCATCTGCATGGGGTCCCTGCTCTGGTGGCTTGGAATTTGGACTTGGGGAAAATCCTTTTCCTGGTGAACCCCTCTGTGTCTCTGTATAGACAGACTGGGTTGATGAGAGTCAGTGAAGGTTAAAGGGTGACTTCTGGGAGCCTTTTACTGAGGGATGGTGTGAGCAGAGTGTGTTACTACCTCCAACTGCAGTTCCCAAGCCCTTTGTTCTGTTGTTCCCTAATAACTTGTTGAGTTGGCTTGAGCTGTGATTTGAATGCGGCCAGTGGTGCTTCCAGGGGCAGCATTCCAGGAAAAGTGTCTGCTTCAGGCATTACACTGATTTCTCTGCAGGGCAGGAGAGGGGAGAACTGGTGGCATTGGAGGGAGGCTAGTTACAGTTGTTTAGGGATGGGAAAAAATAAGAATTTCTGTCTAAAAACTGTCAGGAAAACATCACCCAGGATTGCATCAGGCTGAACAAAGCCTGCAGCACGTGCCACAAAGCCACTGGATTCCACGTGGTTTCTGTTACCACTAGGAATGTGTGGGCTTAGATTGAAATTATCCAGGGAAAATCCTCCCCTGTGGGAGATGTGCTGGGGAGGGGCAGCCCCAGCCTGGTGTCCCTGCCCTCTGAAGGCCAGGGTGTGTTTGAAGGCAGCGGCTTCTGCTGCAGGAAGGGTGTTTGTGGTGCCCGGGTGGTGGAGGGGGAGGAACTCCAGGATGTCCAGGTGCTGTGTGGCAGTTTCTCATGTGCCATGCAGGGAAACTCCAGCCCTTTGCTGCTGGAGCAGGTGCCCAGCGGGTCCCTGCCTGGCCCAGGGGCGATGGGTTGTGGGTGTGTGGAGAGCTCCAGGCAGCTGGTGAGAGATGGGTGAGCTCACACTGTGGTTTCCATTCCTGTGAACAACCATCTCCTGAATATGAGGGAACAGCTTTGAGGTGCAGGAGAAGCTCATTAATTGGAACAAATGGAAGTTTTGTGGGGTTTTCACTCTTTGAGGGAAGGAGGCCAGGGAGCCACATGGGACAGCTGGATTGTGGCAGGTAGAATGTGGAATATTTTAAAATATCACATAAAATAATACTGAATGTGCATTTTCTCTGTGGATTTTCTGCATGTGCTGCAGTCAGTGGTTACATTGAGGGGGCACAACTCTGGGGGGGTTATTTTACCATTTCTCAGGAGGCTCAAAGGCCAAACCCCAAGCAGCAAAGCCAGGAAGCAGGACAGAGGAGAGATGTGGAGACAGACAGACAGTGTGTGGGGCTGGAAGGGAAGGTGAAACATCCACGTCTGCCCATCAGGACAGAGCTGGGACTCCCTTGGGAAGAGGAACCAAAGGCAGCTGGGGGCTGAGAGAGCCCCTGCCCGCCGAGCCCCTGCCTGTGTTCCCTGGCCCAGTGTGCTGAGAGAGAACAGGGATTTCTGTGGATAAAAGGCTGGGAAAGGTTTTCCAAAGCCTCTCCAAATTTTACCCAGGAGTCTGAGATACAAGACAGCAGTTTGGAAAAACACTGACAGCAAAGTCAATTCCAGCATCAGGAAACATCCCATCAGGGAAAAATGTGTCATGCCATGTCCGTGTGGAAGGTACCAGCTGGGAAGTAGGTGGGAAAACTATTCCCTTGGTCTGGAAGGGGTGCTAGTCCCAGAGGTTCTGTGAAGCCTTACTGAGTGAACTCTGGAATGGGTGAAACCTGGGAATGGGACTTTCCACAGGAGTTGGGTTTCAGTGGGAGAGTTTGCCGTGTTGATAGCAGGAGTCTCAAAGCCAGCAGTGTAAGTGGTGCAGGCCCTGGGGGCAGCCAGCCTGTGGGGCGAGTGGCACTGCAGCCAGAGCTGGTGGGTGGCACTGCAGCCAGAGCTGGTGGGTGGCACTGCAGCCAGAGCTGGTGGGTGGCACTGCAGCCAGAGCTGCCACCCCGAGCGCTGGCACCACGTGCTGCTCCTCCGGGCTGGTCCCTGCTGGGCCCATGGCCCATGTCCTGGGGAACTGCACCGGGGTGCTCAGTCAGTGTTCACATCAGCTCTGATCCAGTGCCTGAGCTGGAACTGAACTGTGATTTTATTGCAGATGATGAGGAGCGAGACCTGCAGAACGACCTGGGGGACTACAAGTCCCGCTTCAGCGACGGGGTCCTGTAGGCCCGGGGCACAGAGAGCCCAACCCAAGGACTTGAGGTGCTGCAAAACTGAACCAGTTCTACTCCAGTGTATCCTACTTCCAAGGAAGCTGAGAATAAAGTGCCGAGTGTGCTCAGCCAGCAGGTGAAGAGGAGCCACTGTACATATGTACATACTTGTACTGCTGCAGGTTGTATTAAACCAGCATTGTCACATGGAGCCGGTTACTCAGCCTGGTCCTTATCTGAAATAATCTTTATACTTAAGCCCAGTCTATAAACACAGGCTGAACTGTTTCTGCCATGTACAACACTTTGGAACCTGGAGGACTTGTACAGTTTGTACCTGATGTAACAAAGCTGCTGTGGAAGCCATGTACAGCCAAGGACTCCTTTTCTACAGTCCCACCTGTGTGGGCAGAACTGCTTCTCCCGAGTGCTGGGTTTGTCCAGCAGGTGAGCCCCGAGCTGGGAATGAGAACTGAACGGTTCAATAGCTGCTCCCTCCTCTACTGTGACCCAGGCTGGGGCAGCCCTCGGCACCACTGAGCTCCTGTACAGTGACCACATCTCATAGCTAGAGCTGCAAATCTGTAGTAGGACTTCAGTAATTTGGTTCATCCCCAAAAAGTTGTGCGACTAATAGCTTGATTTAAAAGATTATAAATTGGTATAAATAATTATAAATAATTCACAGCTTGTAGGAAATCTTTGTGTTAAAGACAGCAAGGGTGTGAGTGAGACACGTCTGTCTGCCCTCGACAGAAGGACCAGCCCTTCCTGGGTTTGCTGCTGGTGTGCTGTCCCAGGTTGTCCAGCCCAGGTCCAGCCACTGCAGCCCATTTCCAGTTTGATCCTTGCTACACAGCTCAGAACACCTGCCACGTCCCACGGTCTGGTTTTCTCCATGGGATCTGTAAGTCAGACCCTCCTCTGTGTTCTGTGTTTAAGTACCGTCGGAATTTATGGAGATGATTCCATGGCTCTGCAGTGTGGGAATAATGGGGATTGTCCTGCCTGCTCCTCAAAGGGCTCCTGGGGACACAGGCTGTAGGCCCTGATGAGGGTGACTGAACCCATCCCTGTGCTCAGGTGCTGGGCTGAAGTAACGGGTCAGGTTTGCTCATTGCCAGCTCAGTGAACCTCTTAAATAAAGTTCAACGCTCATACAATTATTGGCGGGGCTTTAAGACAATTTATTACTGCTTCAGGTGTCAATGGCAAAAAAAGCGGCTGCATTCAAAAAGTGAAGGTCCAGCTCAGTGCTGTGTTCTGGTTCAGTACCAGCCAGTGTTCTCTGTAGTGCAGCATCACGTGGCACAGCTTGGGAAGACCGATAAATTAAAGAGCTACTTAAATGTAGAGATGAAACCATTCTGCACTCACAGCTTTAGCTGCTTTTCCCTGCCCTGCTGTCCTCGCTCAGTACCACGGCTAAGGCACATCTCAAGTGGGTGTGACACTGCCCAGCTGCTCTGACAGATCCATGAAAACAGCTCAGAATCCTTCCCTGGGAGGGTGGGCAGGCCCTGGCACAGGTTGCCCAGAGAAGCTGTGGCTGCCCCTGGATCCCTGGAAGTGTCCAAGGCCAGGCTGGGCGGGGCTTGGAGCAGCCTGGGCTAGTGGAAGGTGTCCCTGCCCATGGCAGGGGGTGGCACTGGATAAGCTTTAAAGTCCCTTCCAACCCAAGTCATTCCAGGTTTCTCTGAACTTCATGTGTGATTTGTTCTTTGTACAATACCCTGGGAAGCACCAAGTCCCACCAGTGTAATCCTGTTTCCTGCTGTAGCAATGCTGACCTGGGGAGCTGCTCTGGCTCTCAGGCACTGTTCCCAAAGCCAGTGTCCCCCAGGGCAAACAAAGGAGCCCCAAAATGGATCTCCCTTCATTTTCATGAGTAAAAAATATAAAGTGGCTTATGATACAAACTCACAAATTTTCAGTTGTGTGTTTCATGAGCCTTTTTAAGAACAGGACACTTTGCCAACTGGCTGACACCTGGAGTTCTCATCCAGGATCCCTTCCTCTTCTTTGGAGGAAGGTGGGCAAAGGGAGGAGAACTCTGGGATGGCCTCAGGTGTCTGGAAGAGCATGTGATGCACTGAATACAATAAATGCACTTTGCTAATCAAACACCAGCTCACTTTTCCAAACATGAATTGAAAACATGAGTCCCTGTGGATTCACAGGCCACCCCTGCCCCGAGCTGTGTGGCACCACTCGGGCTCTGAGGACCAGAAATGACAAACCAGCTCGGGTTTGTTTTGAAAATGCAATTCTGACATCCCTGTGCGGTTTGTGCGGAGCCAGTCCCTGTTTCCATGGCAATGGCAGCACACACAACGCTGACAGCTGCTTCCCTCAGCCCCAGCGAGCCTGGAATCAACCCTGCTCCCACATTCTGGGGCTCACAGGAGGATCCAGCACAGCCCTTCCCACCTCAGCCCAGCCCAGATCTTCACCCAACACCCCCAGGTAGCTCCACAGTGCGTCCAGTCCTGGGGCTGAGGCTCCACTGAGAAAGCCCTTTGGATCCACGTGGATTTCTAACAATGAGCAGAGAGCTGAGATCCAGCTGCCAAGGCTGAGGGGTGAGTTCAGCCACTGTGAGAAACACAGGCACCTGCACCCAACAGCCAGAGAAACAACTCCAGTTATTCCAGCCAGTCCCAGCTGCCCAGTTTTGGAGGTTTGTGGCAAACAGACTCTGCCGAAGCTTTCCCAAAGTCACATGGCCCCCACAAAAGCCAAGACTCATCAATGAACCCATTTTAGATTAAACATGAGGAAAACCAAACTGATGGGCAGGATGTCACCAAAGGGGAAACCCCAGTTCTGGATGAAACCAAGTCCACATTTTTCATCGTTTTAATGGCTGCAAAGAGCCAGTTCAAAGTGACAAGATGCAAACAGACATGAGAGAAATGGTTTGTGGATTTTATTAAATGTTCTTCTACATTTTCATGTAGGCAAACCCAGCAACAGTGGGAAACCCAGAGCCTGCAGGACAGAAGAGCTTGAGAGTGAGTGTTTTGCAAAAGAACCTACAGAAAAGACAAAAGGTTTTCTTCTCTGTAAATCTGTTTACTCCCCCTGTTTACAGTTTGCACCCTGGGGAAGAGCTGCATTGATCAGTACTAGTTTACTTAAAACAAGGGCATTGATATCCCAAATTTTCATCAGGACCCATTTCACTGTTCACACAAGTCTGTAAAGAAATTCTCTATCTGACACCTTTCTCCTTTATCCCTATTAAAGGGCAATTTCAGCCTGCCATAAATCTGTCTGCTGCAATCCCTATTCCAAGGAGCTTTCAGTAACACGGGACCCAAGTATGGAACTTCCAGTTAAAATAACCTGAGACCCTTCCTTGAGGAGACTGACCAAAATATTTAATAGGATCAAAAATCTTGCTGTGATGAACTAGAAAATGAGAGATTGGGCACTTTATATGGAGAAGGAGCACAGTGTCCTGCTGTTCCAGCTGGCTCCAGGACTGAGGAGACCAGATTCCTGTCGTTTAAATAAAAGAGGAAAACAAACCCACAAAACCAACTGGGGGCATCTCTCCCTATTTATGAGAGTACAGTGGAATTTTCAGGCCTGCCAGAAACACAGTAATCATATTTATGCCTGAACTTCTTCATGCCAACATGGAAACCATAACACTCCAATTCCTCAACCTATAGCAAACCCCAAGTAGCCACACTGGGATTACTGGTATGGATAATCTACAGTTTAACTTCCCAGAACAGGGCTTGGCCACTCGTGGCCGTGCAGTTCCATCCCTGGAGGAAGGTCTCGTGCCCCTCTCAGTGCTGACTGTGCCAGATCAAACACAAGGTTCATTCCCGTGTGTTTCTTGTGGGGATCTGGGAGCAGACGAATCCCTGTTGCTGTCAGCTGGAGTGTCAGCAGTGAGAACAGTGAGTCTGGAGCTGCTCCTGGACAGCCAGATTGGCTCCCAGACGTCGGGGATGGAGGAGCAGCAGAGCCTGGGAGCTGCTTTTTATTTAACTCACATGCATGGATGGCTTTGGTCACCCATCCAGGAATTGATTCCTTTCAGATAAGCAAAAGAAACAACACTGGAAATGGGCAATAGTAAAATATAAACCCAAACAAGAATTGGTTTGTTTCTACAGTCCTGTCACAGTTGCTTTCACTTTGGCAAAATAAACTTCACTGAGCTCCTGTGCTCGGGGTTCACGGTGTTACCTGCAAGAAAGGAGCTGGAATACCAGCGAGAATCATGGAATCATGGAATAGTTTGGGTGGGAAGGGACCTCAAAGCTTATCCAGTCCAACCCCCTGCCATGGGCAGGGACATCTTCCACCAGCCCAGGTTGTTCCAAGCCTCGTCCAACCTGGCCTTGGACACTTCCAGGGATCCAGGGGCAGCCACAGCTTCTCTGGGCAACCTGTGCCAGGGCCTGCCCACCCTCCCAGGGAAGAATTCCTTCCCAATATTCCATCCACCCCGCCCTCTGGCAGTGGGAAGCCATTCCCCGTTGTCCTGTCCCTCCAGGCCCTTGTCCAAAGTCTCTGTTCAGCCTTCCTGCAGGCTCCCTTTAGGCACTGGGAAGGGCTCTAAGGTCTCTTTAAGGAACTTAAGGGAAGAACCCCTCCTCCCCAAATTATCCAGGGAATTAAACCCTTTCCCCCTGCAAAAGCAAGACTTGGGATTTTAGCTTATGAAACAGAATTCTGAGGGATGCCCTGATCCCATGTGGGTCCTGACACACGGGAGAGCAACTCTAGCAGTGCACAACTCCTGAATTTCCTGGGAAGCGCCAGATGCTGAAGTTAAACTGGAATAAACTCCAGCCCTGAGCTGCAGACCCTGCAAACAGCTCCCCAGGACACCGGGGAACCCCCAGCTCTTCAGCTCTGCACAAGCAGGGAACTCGCTCCTGAGCATGTGGGTTTACAGGAGTGTATGGACACAGAGCTAAGGGCTCTGCAAGGCTCAGAGAGAAGAGTGGGAAGGAAATCCTAAACTAGGAGGAACGGCCTTTGAAGGAGCAGTGAGGATCCCACTGCAGGAGCAGGCAATGGCACGTTTCCCTCAGTGTCTCTGAAGTGAGGCAAACTCGGTGTGACAGGGAGCCCAACAGCCCTGGCAGGGGAGAACCCACTGCTGCCAACATGGGCCTTTTTTCCTTGGCCCAGACCCACATTCCAAGCTCCCAGTGCTCCGTGTGTGCGGCACACACAGCACCAGCTGCGGTTCTTACACTGCACACACACAGCTGAGGCTCTGCTCAGGTACCTGCACATGCCACCCTGGGAGCAGGGGACAGCAGGGGACCTCTGAACTGCTGCCTGCACAGCAACACAGTCAGTGAGAGCATTTTACATATTCCCTTTCCTGCCAGTCCAACCCCCTCCCTAACTCAGCACCAGGGTACTCGGGGAGAGCACAAGACACTGTGAAAAACATATTTTGATATCCTGTAACACAGAAAAGTACAGTTCTCATTGCCAAAAAGATCAGTTTGAACCCTGAGTCACACATTTAATATCTTCCCAGTGTGTTTTTGGCCGTGCTGGTGCTCTCACAAATACCTGCTTGCTTTGACTCTTGCTGGATGATTTCCTCTGGCAGCTCATTTCATTTTAATTACATGGCTTGAGAGAGTATTTCCACCCACCACTTCCCAAAACTCCCACTTTCTAAGTATCAGTGAATGTCCTTTTGGGCTCACAGCGTGAGACATCACACAGTTATCCTGCCATACTAGTTCCTCCTAAGGAACTGCCAAATGGTGTTAATTAAGCTTTAACATGTCCAAATGGACCTTTTTCACAGCTGATCATTCACTGATCATTCGCTAAACATTCGGGTGCTGTTGTTAAGTGTTTAGAAATAACTGAATGCTCTAAAGGAATAACTATTACCTGTTCTGAAGGAGGGCTACACTGTTTCCAGTGCCTTTCTATGACCTCTGTTTTTGAGAAACGATGGTAAAATTAGCTTTACAGTGTTTTCTGCTAAAGACAGACCACTAGAGTCGTGTGACAGAATTCTATAACAGATCTTGGCTTCGCAGCAGCAGATGTAGTTCTTTTTAACAAACCAGTAAATATTTTCGGTGACTAGAGAGCTGAGACTTTTATAATCTGACCCAGGTTCAAAAGGTAAGCAGGTAGTCAACAGGTACCAGGAAAGGAA